GAACCCAGGGCTTGGGTTTCGAACGAACCCAGTGCTTGGGTTCCATCGAGACCCAAGCCTTTCGAACGAACCCAGGCAGCTTTGGTTTCCCAAGTGTCTTGGGTTTGATCGAACCCAAGCTCTGGGTTCATTCGAAACCCAGGCTGCCTGGGTTTCCCAGGCGTCTTGGGTTCGATCGAACCCAAGCTCTAGGTTGCCTGGGTTTCGAACGAACCCAGAGCTTGGGTTCGATCGAAACCCAGGGCAAGGCTCTGGGTTCGATCGAAACCCAGAGCCTAGGTTCGGCTCTGGGTTTCGAACGAACCCAGGAGAAAAAATAAAAAAAAAATTCTCTTTTTTTTTTTCTATGGATTTGGTTGGTTGATGATGATGAAGAAGGCAAAGCTTGCTGAGGAACACTGTTGTTCTAGGTTCGAATGGGTTTAGGGAAGAAAGGGGAGAAGGGTTCAGGTTTTGCAAGAGGTGGGACCCACTGCCTGGGTTTCGAACAAACCCAGAGCTTAGGTTCGATCGAAACCCAGGGCAAGGCTCTGGGTTCGAATGGGTTTAGGACGAAAGGGGGAGAAGGGTTCAGGTTTTGTAGGATGTGGGACCTACTTTTTTTTCTTGTTTGGTTTTGGGGCAGAATAAGTCATATTGCCATGTCATCTTTTTTTCCAGGTGTGCGTTTGAAGTGTCACTTTATTGTTGACATGTCATCGTGCTTTTGTTAATCAAGGACACGTCACTAGATTTTTAACGGATTTTTAACAGAGGGACTAAATCGGGGTCAAAATGGTAAACAGTAGGGACCAAATCAGGGATTTTTTGAGTTGAGGGACTAAGTCAGGGTCGTACGATAGTTGAGGGACCAAAATGGGGGTTTAACCCTTTTTATTATCAACTTTTTTCATTATCGCATGGGATTCACAAATCTTCAATGAATTAACATGCTTATATTAATACATTTTCTTGTAAATCTACAACGTTTATTTTCTTGTAAAAAGTCCATTATTAGTTCACATGACAAGAATCTAAGTTGATACGATGATACTAGACATATTAATCTACGTTATAAAACTCAACATTCATAATAAACCTACATATGAAAAGTATAAAAATGTTACATTGGGTATATAATAGTAAATATAACGGCATAAAAATCTTATAACAAGTGAAAGGGCTTAAAAACTTCCATATCAAGTATATAACAAGTAAATATGAATATGGGTGTTAAACACAAAAAAAGTTATTTTACTTTTTACCAATTTGTTGTAGATTAAATGTAAGTCTTATATTGCTCCTTACATGCTCAATTTTCACATTGTGGTCTCTTCTTCTGTCACAGCCGAATAAAAAGATGCACTAGAAGACATGTTACTGGAAGGGTTCTTGGAGAGGATTGGAGAGAAGAGGATGATATGCGGGTGGGCGCCACAAGTGGAGGTTCTAGCTCACAAGGCAATTGGAGGCTTTGTATCTCACTGTGGATGGAACTCGATTCTAGAAAGTTTGTGGTATGGATCGGAGTACCTAACGTGACATGGCCTATGTATGCTAAGCAACAACTCAGTGCGTTCATGATGGTGAAGGAAATGGGATTAGCAGTGGGAGTCGAGATTGGATTTCAGGAGCAACGGCAATCTCGTGATGGCAAAGGAAATAGAGCGAAAGCTTTGCACTGTGTCATGGATGGTTGTAGTTTAGTGAGGGTGAACGTGAAGGAAACATCAGACATTGCTAAGAAGGCCATTAAGGATGGTGGGTCTTAATTGCTTTCCGTTGGACGTTTCATAGAGGATATTGACGGAAAAACTGTCGATGTTTGATTGTTTTGAGTTTGATCTTTTCTATTGTTGAGGAGGGAACAATAGCCATACTGGGAGGCATTCATTTTCATTACATTGTATTTGTACGCAGATTTTCCAGTTGGATTTCTTCATCATCTGTATCTTTGATTACGGCTCTGGCGACTTGTTTTTAATGGTTGTAACAGCATCTTTCGTGTTCATTCTTTGAACATTGCTTCAATTTGTCATTTTTCAACTACCATAACAAGAACGGTATGTTAGCACTGACTTGGTGGTGTCTTGTGGATGGAGTGTGGAGGATGTTTTGTTGGTTTATAAATGAATTAAATATAAAATTACTTGAACTTTTAACTCAACACATATTTTTTCAGTTTGAGTCAAAGTTATAATTTTTAAAATTATTGAGTTTTAAATTTTTGTCAGACTTAAAAACAAGTTTAAACTTGATTTAGATATTAAGAGCTCAAATTAAACACCTTAGGAGTTATTTGTCTCACTTACAACCCTATTTGCAAGGGTCTCGGACTTTAATCAAAAGAATGGGAGAATTTACCATAGGAATTAAAAGATATAAAAAGAAAACCAAGAAGTAGAAGAGGAAAGAAAGTCAGAAGTTTCTGTTAATGGTCATGATACTAGTGATGTTGAAAGAACAACCAGAACCGCACACGTTCAATCAATCAAGTGCACAACTAGTTCAATCGGCGATAGACATTTTTTTTTTTTTTTTTGAATAAGACAATTAAATTGCAATTATATTTAGGGTATGGGGATGAAGGTTAATGATTGGGTTCGAAGTCAATACCTAAGTACGACACCGTTGAGCTCTTACCATTGGGTCACAAGACTCACAACCGTGATTAGCCAATTGGTAATGACTTTGATGCCCCAGCTAATGTTTTAATGAACAGCAAGGGGATGGGTTTCAAAATTGAAAATAATAATTAATTTTTTATTTAAAATTTTATTTATAATATAATATTTATTTATTTATTTAATAACATATTATAATTATAAATTTATAATTTTATATAATATTATAACTATATGTTATCATTTTCAAAATATATTTTTGTGAAGCGTAAAGTACACCATGCTGAACTAACCATTCTATAGGTTGAGGCCTCTCAATGTATTAGCTTCCCCCAATCCAATAATCCCTTTCTGTAGCTAGACTGAAAAAATGGGGACTCTTTCAATTGTTTTTTTTTTCTTTTCTTTTCTTTTCTTTTTTTCCTTTTCCTGTGATTTTAGTTTTTGGTTAAAGGTTAAGTTTGAATTATAATTAACAGTAAATAATTGATTAAGGCTGTTTAGTTTCAACTAAAGATTATTTCTATTGGGGTGTTGACATGCTAATAATCATTTTGTATAATTTTTTAATATAATTTTTATATGTCATTAAATAAAAATTCATATAAAATTTTGAGTATTAATAGAGTAAAAAGAATAAATCATTAAATAATATATAAGATTATATAAAAATCATATAAAAATATGAGGATAATGCATAATAGGTCATCCTCTTAAAATTTTTTTAGGACCTCGCTAAAAATCTAACTTCTAAGTAATTTTTTTAAACACTAATAGTTAGATTTAAAGTTTTATTTATGTAAGTTGTACATATCAATTTTTATGTTGATCTAATACTTATAATTTTTAATTAAAAAAACTTTATTTATTGATATATATTTAATGATATTAAATTTTTTATAATCAATAAAATGATTAAATCTACTATATTAATTTAAAAATTAATATGCATAATTTATATTAATAAAATTTTCAATCTAACTATTAATTTTTAAAAATATTAATTAAAATATAAGTTTTTAAACAAATTTTCTAAAAAAATTGAGAAATAATATGCAAAACACTTTTCCCTAAAAATATTATTTTTCAATCATTTTCCACTTCTATTGTGATTTGGAAGGATTTAACGTGTCGAAGAGGGAGAAGTGTAGAAGAGGTAAAACTGTAAAAGCAAGAGAGAACAGTGAGGAAGAGGATGAGGGCATTTTGGTCATTTTCTATCTGAGAAAGGCATATCTCCAACCTAATTTATATTCAACATGAAAAACCTCTTGGCATGTCAGTATGTCTAATAATGGTTAATATCTAATGTGCCATTAATTTTAACTATAATTTTTTTAAACAGTTAGCTAATATTTAAAAATATCTATTTAAAAACTAATCTTAATTTGTTAAATTATAAATATTAATAATTTTATCAATTATCAATAATTTTTAACCATCAAATAAAAAATAAAAATTTGACAGATTTAATGACCTTAATTAATTTAATAGTGGCCATAGATATATATAACCTTCAACAATAACGTTAGGATATTTGATAACAACAGATATGATAAATGGAAATCACAAGAAGTCACTCAGTTAAGATTTTCCCCTTTTTTTTAAAAAAAAAAAAAAGGCCTATAAAACAACTGGTTAAATTATTGACATAAAATGCTTGTCTGTCTCATAAAAATGAATAAGGGATTTTTCCTTCTCTCTTCTAATAGAAACTCAAAAAGATCATTAAAAAAATATATATACAACTCAAAGAACTTGGTCTAATGTTCATATTAATGTAAACAGATATACAATATAGGTAATTCTAGTAACACTGATTCTAATTTCAGGAATTGTTCAGTACAGAAGGCATGAAAATCCTATAAAACCAGGGGAAAACAAAAATATGTATAATAATTTGATAATTAACGATGTTTTCTTCTCTTCTATTACTGCCTAAACTCTACAGAAAAGTTTGTAGTCATCCAGCACAAAGAGAGTTTGGTACTTGAACTTGATGTTATTATTCTCCGCACATAGACCATTCTCTGAATTTAATCAATAAGCCATTTGAATTACCTTTCATTCCTCTGAGATTTTGAAAAACTGTATAGGACAAGATCAGGTTGTTAATTTATACCACCCATTTTAGGATCTGTTTCAAACTTGGGGTTGATGTAGTAGAAAATCTGCAAAGACGTGCCATTGAACAATAAAAAACTTGTTCTCTCCAGAAACTAAAAATTTAAACAGCCTTCACTTACAGGTATGTCAATCTGTTATCCAGGAAGAAGACGCTGCTCCTCAAAGCAAAAGCACCGGATTTTGTTTAAGTAAACTGCAGCCAGAAAAAGGAAAAGAAAATAGAAGCACACAGATTAACTGAGCCAATCCTCCCAGAGTTTTCTTTTCACACGATTGAAATGATAACAATGATGACAATTGACTTTTAATGCAGTATACTCTTTAGGTTTCATTGAAGATTATGCAGCAGAACTCCTAAGAATTATTAATTTATTATCAACATTTGTCTGCTCATTTATCAAGTACAAGCTAGTAACCTAACCTTCCTCCTTTTTTTTTAGTACATCAGATGATGAGTTATATAATAGGAGATAGCCCTCCTCTTTCCAAACTCCACCCCACCTATCCCAGGATTCGAACCAAAGATCTCCAACATTGAGATTCAAATTCTTAACCATTGGATCTGCCACTATGGGACATATCTACTTGCCTCCCTGATCCTTATACAAGTATCATTACGCATGCTTAGGCTTCAGCCTTTATGTGCATGCCGATTGTCAGTTTTTCCAATACCAGTGCTGAAACACAAATAAATGAAACCCCAAAATGATGCAGGAAGACCCCATTGGTGCCAATACAAATTATGCTTAAGCAGCAAGACACAATAGTACTGCATTTCAGCTAAAGTTTTCCCATGATTATTTGAGTACAAATCTACTGTCATCTCTCAGTCCCCAGAAGAAAATTCCCACATAAAATAGAACAGATTAGGTTGAGAAAATATCATGTAACAATGTCCAGTTGCATTAATAAAAAGGAAGGGCAACAAAAAATGCAGTTAACAGTATTAAATGTGCAGATCATTCTTTCACATCAAAATCACTCTATATCTATCCTAAATATTGTCAACTACTCATTCTTTCTTGCATAAGAAGATCTATTGTTTTAACAGTCATACCTCTATCAACAATTCAAATAAAATGTAAGTGTTTATTTTGAAGGCACCTCCAGGGAAAACTAAACGGAAAGATATTTTTTACTGCGTCCTGGCTTTAGGCCCTCCTAATTTACCTCAAGCAATGAGTAAATATCAAGTTGTATTTGGAAAATGAAGCAAAGATCATGTTTTCAATGAAATGCCACAGAGATCCAGAATGGAGGATAATTCTGCAAAGAGATCTAAAAATTATGAACAAATACTTTGATACATCAGGGTACCTCCATTGGGGTAACATTATATGTAGACATACTAGTTATTGGTTTTGAGCTTCTATTTTCAGCAGTATAAAATGCTCAGGCACTTTCTCCTGGTTTGATCCTTACCTAGCAGAAAGAAATGATGAAAAGATATGTTAAACATGATGGAAACCATCCTCTAAATTGCAGAAAATTAGACAGAGAGAACTTGGAAGTGAGAATCACCTCTCTTTGAGTTGGAATGAATTTCCTAGGCATTCCATCAGAGACATCAGCATTGAACTGCACAACTCTCTCCCTGGTGAAAGAGATAAAGAACTCAACAAGACAAAGACAAACCTGATACTCCTTTGGTCATTCAGGTCAAATTCCATATGCTTCAGAAAAGAATCCCTAGAAAATACGTGCATTAATTGAAGTTGCATAAACATACAGATAGAAACTTGAAACATAAGAAATTATGCAAAGATCCTGAACCCAGTGAAATCAGAGTTCAGAGATGCTATTAGCTGATTAGTTGAGGCAGTCCTGCATCATTAGTTTCTTTGTAGAGGATTGGCATGAGACTATAAGAGAATGAATATAATTAGAAGAAAGAATAAGGAGTCAAAATTTCAAACACCATATCTCTTACTCAAAGAGCAGTATCTGGAACAAATGTTGAGAGGCCAAAAAAGTGCAACATTAAAAGTTAGAAAAAAATGATATCCACTTTGACTTTAGGGATGCACAT